CCCTGGACAAATTCCAATTTGGGTAATTGCATTCTGCTTCTCTCTCTCTATTCTCCCTGAAGTTTCAGTTGGATGCAGTATTCTTGTTCACATCTGTCCTAAGCTATAGCATCCCTTTGCACTGTGCTGTTAAATGACTGCTGCTTTCCATCCCAGAGGTGGTTTCATTTCAGTGTTAGGTGAAGTGAAACATATCTTTATAATAAATGCATACATTCCACAAAATGTATGTGCATCATATGGGACAGCTGGCATTTTGTAAAAGCAAAGTACAGTACTAGGTTCTTTTTTGAAACTAAAGCTTTAAGGAAAAAAAAACAATTCAGTGCTCAGACTAGTGAACATTTATGAAACTTGTGACCTTTTGAAATGTTTTTAGCTTTTTTTTAGGTCTACTAGGTGGCTTGCTGTTGCAGTGATGCACACAACCTATACTTGTATAGCTGTGTCCAGGGGAGGATTGAGGGGAGCTGTAGTGGTGCAAATACACCCTCTCCTTCCTACCTTTGATTTGTGGTTCATCCAAAGTTTTTAAAACTGGAGGTGCCTGCAGTAATGGAGTCACTCTAACTTAATGGCTCATTATAATCTTCCTGATTCCTTCTCAAGTCTTCATTCTACAGGTGTTAATAAACCTCTCTCCTTTTTTAATGAACTTAATGGTTTCAACTGTAGTTTCTAAATCTGGGAAAGTAATAGCAAGCCTGGGAAGGGGGTTCATTTGTAGCAGAGTGGAAACCTGATATGGTCATTGCTGGTTATCTATAGGTAGGCTGGTAAATCTGGTGTTGCACAAAACTGCAAGTATAAACTTAAGTTGCATTATGCAGCTAATTTTGGGATGGCCAGCAGTATTTCCAGAATGTCCATGTAAGGAAGCAGTCTGTAAGTGGGTTTGTGTGCCTTCTGCCTTGAAGGATGGCTTTTGCTCTCTTGGGACCTTCTAAGACAATCCTCCTATACACAAACACAATCTTGGCACTAAACAAATAAATAAATGAATGTGCCCGCCTGGCCTCGAACACCAGGTCCTGCGCGGCTTTGGCTGGGACATTCTCTGGTGTTCGCCTCACTGTTCCTGGTGGTCCATTGAGTCTATCTTTCCTTCTGGTGTGGTCTTCCCCAATCTTGCCTGCCATGACTTTGAATATTATTTCAGTGGTGGGTCCAACCACTGGAGGTCTCTCGATGGTGGGACGTCTATCTGGTGGTCTTCTGCGAGGCTCCACCTCCCCTCAACCTCGCCCTTACACCCAGCCTTGACGGGTCACAGCTGTTCTCCTGGCCAAGCTCCCGACCATTGAGTCCCTGATTACTTTCACTGGGGTGGTCCTCCCAGCCAACACAAACAGCCTGCAGTACCCTACCTGGGTTGCGAGGCCACAGCCCTTTCCCTAAGCCTAGCAACCAACCCCGAGGCTAAAATAGCAGTTGGGCTCCACGAGCTCTGACCTTCAACCCCTCCACCTGTGGGAAACACAAAATACACAAGAAAATCACTGGTGCCCTCTGGAGGGCCCAACTGCTCCTTGACCAGGCTCCCTCTGCCTAGTCACTAACCACCCGCCCTGGACACTCTGGGTCGGTGGTAAGCCCTATATGTGACTGGGGTGACCAGCAGATTCCACCGCAATTCTCCTTCCTCGTTGCCCAGCCTTTCATTTTTTCGGACCACCTGTGGTCTTCCGGTGGCTGCCAGGCCTCTTGTCACCTGCTGGATTGGTGCTATGCTGCTGAAGGCTGTGTCCTGCAGTCCTTCGCGCTGCCCTTGTCTCTCGTCTCCTACCTGGTGCGCCTCTTCGGCTCTCCCGGTGCCCTCAGTGGTCCCACCTGCGTAGGTGCTGAGACTTACATTGGCCTCTCCAGCCCCTCTGCTATAGCCATGGGTGTCGGGGGTCTTTCTGTGCCCCTCTGTCCTTTTTTCCCCAGGTTCCCAGCCATGAGGAGCCACCTCTGGCTCACGGCTTCTGCTGCAGCCAGTGGTGTGTGGCTTGCTGCGGGCGTTGAGGCATCCTCCCCCACTGGGGAAGCAGCTTCTGGCTCCCTTTGCTCTCGCAGGAGCTGCGGAGAGACACCTCCTGCTGGTGTTCCTGCCGGCGCTGATCTGCCCCCTTCCTCATTGCTGGCGGCCCGTTTTATTTCCGCCAGCCGGTGTTCATGGCTGACATCACTGGCTGGCCGCAGCTGCATGAAGACGCAGCTGACAAGCCGCGTGGGTTCCTCCGTGTGTTCTGGCTTCGCTGCGGGTCCCGCTGCAGGTGAGTATCTTTCTTTCCTATTTTTTCTTTCCCCTCTGGGGTTTCCTGACCCCGGGGCTCCCCCCTGATATTTTGGTGTCTTCCCCTGTGACAATGAACAAAGAAAAATTCTCGTCCCTTCCCTGGACAGCAGGAGAGGTCCTTTAGCTCTGGCCCTGTACCATTGCATGGGCATTCCTGATAGTGAGCTTATCTGGGATTCAGTCTTCCTCCTGGCCACTAAGTATAAAAGGGGTGGCTGCTGCTTCACAATATGCCAGTCACTTCTGGACTGCAGTTTGCTGGTGCATGGACCAGTCTGCAGTCACTTGTGGTCTGTGGTTTGCTAGTCCACGGTCTAAAAAGGTTGGGAACCACTGCCCTAGCTCACTACTCTCTGCTGTCTCCTCTGAGTTTTAACTGCTAGTGGGATATTCTAACCATCTGCAGCTGGGCTTCTACACCAGGGCTGTCTGCTCTTTCTTAAAGGGCCAGACCTCCCTGTTATACAGACTTCTGTGGAGCTGTGTGAGGATCTTGCAACTGAGGCAAGTTTATATCAGTCCAAAAGTAAATTACTATTGTCATCTGGAAATGGGATACCCTAGACTGCTTCAGGTCTGCAGTTAACCAACATGAAGTTGGTGAATTTGGCAAGTCAGCTGGTAGAGAATTGAGAGGAAATTATTACTGCCTGCTACCGATGAGTAAGCCATGTAACTAATGTGGACAGAATAGTAATGGATTGTAAGAATACTGGCTCCCCTAACTGTGATGGGGCCATTGATTGCACTTTGCTCATAGTTTGCCCTTCTCAAGGACAAGGAACAATGTCCACCTGATCCTCATCTCTACCTGTCTCTGAGATACTGTCAAACAAATGTAGATATCTTCCAAAATTGAGCTTCTTGCTGTAGTTATGCCAAAAGTTAACTTGAACCTTAATGTGCTCCTAGGGCCAGCTAACAGCATGCTGGGCAAGCATCTTTTAAGACTGAGCTGGAATGAGCAGTTTAGAAAATGGAGTAGGACATGTAGAATGAAGAGTTTGGTACCAACCAAGGGCATATAAAGTAACATGCAAATGAATGGGAAGTGAATAAGGAAAAGGGGAGATCATTCAGGCCTCAGGAATTGTGGGACTGAGGTGCAGAACTGTCTAACCACAAGCTCAGCAACATGTGTTGCATCTTCACTGCAAAGTGGGTGAGTAGGAGCCTGGTCTTTAAAGTGAAACATGAACCTTAACTCATACAGTTAGCTAGGCAAGCGAGCCTGAGATTAAATGTTTTGTCTGTGAAGATATTTTGTAGGAGACTTTAGTCAAAATATGGGTAAGAACATAAGGTAAACCTCTAGGGTGAAAGTAACTAGTATGGTCAAGGCTAGTTTGTTTTTTATAAGATGCATGTGAGTGTTTCAATATATCCCAAGTATGTGTATTGAGACATTGTGCTTAATACATTGGCGGTTTGTTGACTCAGCTGTCGTCAGTTATGATGATAGGGCAGGACATCTCTATTGTTGGAGGTATAACTGCTTCAGTAGAAAGCAAGAGTATTGTCTTTCTCTTGGACTGTTAAGTTAGCATTTTGTGAAATATTTCAGAATCATAGAAAGTGGAAGGGAACCTGTATTACGGTGTTTATTCCAACACTGTATTCTACAGGAGACTAATATTGGTACATACCTATTGTCTTATGATTGCAATTTCTAAAGGGTTTTGATTCAACCTTCTCTTATGAAAGTCATTTTTATTTTGCACTGATATGGAATACTAAAGCAGTAGGATCAAATCCACCACTGGAGCAGGTGGCTGCAATTTCAGTGGGGCTGTGACAGTGGTGAATTTGATTTGTAATGTATAATAATAAACTCCCACTTTTAAAATCTTCTTCCAAGCTTTTTTTTACACTGATTGATATTTAAACCCATTCATATTTCCTTTCTCCCTCAATGTTTCTTTCACCATAACAAGCAATAAGGAAGAAGGAAGTGCAGGTGAAGTCATGGGGCACTGAACAGAGTTAGAAACCTGGCTTCCATTCCCAGCTCTGTCATTCACTTGCTGTTTGACTTTGGGGCACCTAATGCACAGCTCCCATTGCCTTCACTTGCAGGGTTAGGTGATCAGCTATTCTGAAACTAAAGCACTAAATTTCTCTGTATTTCAGATCACACTTGAAAACAGAAATAATTATGCTCCAGTGCATAGTATTTTATTTTAGACTGTGTTATTTAATATGCAGAAATATTTACTTAAGCTACTTCTGGTTCTACTCAACCTTTGGTGCATTATTCTTGACTTTATATACCATGATCTCTGTACTCTGTAAATTGCTTTGGTTTTCTGTCTGGCAGCATAAAACGTCTTTGCAACCAGTTCCTATGAAGAATGTAATATTAATATGCCCCAGTGTAAGGAGAGACAAACTATTGGATAACATGCAAACGTATCTTTAATGTAGCAAACTCACCTTGACTAATTTTTTTTATCTAACATCTTGCATCTGTTTACACATCTGTTTTATCTATAGGCCTTTGATCTTTTGATCACCATAATGCATACATATTTTGCGAATAGCAACCTGATAAATGCTTCTTTATGATATGTAGCTGTCAAAATAGTGAAATATGTTTGACCTCTTTCACAATTAAATTTTGGGTCTGAAGTGTCTAGACTGCACACCTGCCATTGGTTGCCTTCAAGATGTTGGCAGAAGGTTTTGTTTATGTTTTGGTTTATCTTTATTTCTTTCTTAGATATTGAAAAGCTAAGTGAAGAAATGAAAGAGGGCCTTGGGCACCTTGCGCAAACATTACAGCTTTATTTGAAAGCAGAGGTCCAGGATGCTTCTCAGCTGTCACCTGCAATAGACATTTTTCAGATCTTCGCAAAAGTAAGCGTTAAAACTGATTTCTGAAAACTCCATAAATTATCTACTTTTATTCTTGATTTATTTTTTGGGCGGGTGTACAACAGGAACCTTTTTGAGAAAGCAGTGATAGATGACAATGTCAGGTTAAACAGTAAATTTTATTCCACTTCAGTAATTATTTAAGCAAATCCCCCTCCATTTAAACAGCAGGTTTTCTTCTGACAGGATTGCTACTCAAATTAAAAATAAATAATTGCAACAAAAGGCTTTTTTACATGAACACTGACATTTTTGGTGTAATTTAATAAAAATGGATGCATTGGAAATGACTTAGGATGATTAATGAGTAATTTCTTTTCCAGCTGTATTGCTTTCCTTTAAAAGATATAAAGGAGGATACAGTTATTATTCTTCCATCCAGAATATTTCTGAAAAAGTAGCTTTATATTTGGTCATTTTGCTAGTAAGTGTTAAGATGTTATTTAATAGCATGTTGCATTCCACAGATTTTGATTTTTGATATCATGGAAATAACTTGTAATCAGATGATTAGAGGTAGAAGTCTGAACATGTCATTTTCTCATATCACTTAAAAAGTATGAAGTGTCTTAAATACCATTGGCTTTTCTAGTTCATATTTTTTTGCTTTGGTTACAGGAAGCTCTGACAAACAGTTCTTCTAGAAGTACTGTGAATGGAAGATACTTATTATTTACTTAAGAATGCTTTTTGTAGATTGATTTATTTGTTTACATGTACCCCAACATGAGATTTCTCTCACCTGGCTTAGTTTAATGTATACAATTGTTCGACTATGATGTACAACAGGGACCCTGGACTGCAGGGCTTCTGTGGGGTTCAGATCCAGACCATGGGACTTCTGGCCACAGCTGCCAGAATTTCTGTGCTGGTTTCAGCAGCCAAGGAGTTAACGCTGCTGCCAGAGACATAACCACAAGGGTCTGTGCCCTGGGGGCCAGGAGTGGCTGGCAGCTGTGGTGGCTCCCATTCTTGCACCCTGTGCTCTGTTTGGCACTCTGGTCACCCAATCCTCATTACGCTACTGTCCGTGATGGCTTAACCCCCATGCCTGTGGCAGCCAGAGCCACTGTGTCAGTGTGGCCAATATACATTGGCTATTATTTAACCATTTACAGGCTGTATTTGGCCCACAGTTCACTGTTTGGTAAGTCTTTCCTCAGACTTTTTTCCTTTGCTGAAACAAAAAGGTAGTGCCTTTTAAAATGAAGTTTGAATGTATAGAATTATCTCTATTTTTTGGCTTTTTGTTTGATGGTTGACATTATTTTTCGTCTAACGATGGAATCTTTTTAGAAGGTTGAATTTGGTAACTTAACGTCAGTTTTCTCATGCTGGACAAACTTTGCTGTGATGCAAAGGGGTTATACAAAGCCTTATGTTTTGCTTAAAAACCTTCATGAATTGTGTAAATGCCATCAGGAACCCTTGGTGACCTTTTGACATTAACTTCTTCAGGTGAATTTCCCTGGAAATATGCTAATAGTATTAATTTTGCCTAACTGAATTGGTATCCTTGAAAGTCAATCTGAAGATAAGAAGGTATTTATTTCATAGATCAAATCAAGTCATAGTTTGTGAGGAATCCTAGCAAAATGCTGTTGTTGACTTCTGCATCTTAAGAAACTTGAAGTGGAAGCTCTAATGATACTGAGGCTGGCAGCTGTTACCCTCCCATCAAATTCTGTGAAGAATAGTGTTGGCTGTATTAGGTAGAAAAAAGCGATGGCTATTTTTAAAATTTTCTGTTTTCGCTTTCATAGGTAGTGATAAGAATATATCTCTAATTTTATCTGAGTCATAGATCTAATGCGTTCCTGTGGTAAAAAAAGATAATATTTATCTTCCAAAAGTCCCGTCTTTTTTCCATGATTGATTTACTACTGACCATATAATTCTTTATTAATGATAAGATAACAGAATGAAATGTCTTCCTGAAATCTTAACAGAACTTCCATTATTTATTTAGGATTTTGTTTACATGCATTTAACTTGGTGTAGCTCTCTGATGCTTATACTTTAGAGAATGAACAAGCTGAAGACACAGCATATGTAATATACTGTTTCTAGTATGATGAAAATATAAAGCCAAGTGTTTCTTCCTCTGTTATGGGCCTTGTAAAATGCATGCCAATAAATAGGGCTTTCACAAGACACCAGAATATCTTTATGTGACATAACAGTTAGCAGGGGAAGAATAGAATAAAATATATGTATATTCGCATCGGTCTAGAGAAACAGACTTCTTCATCTAAGGATAAAACTGCATTTCTACAGTCTGTGGAGATCCCTTGTTTCCTAATACTGGGAATACCTCTTTATGAATCTAGAGGGGACCTTGGCAGTCACCTCTGTGTCTGAAGTGTACTCCTGTATAAATCATGGATAACTTTTTTTCTCTCTCAAATGATATTAGGTAGTAACCTAGTTGCAAAATGGTTCTGATGAGCATGACTTCTATTTACTTTCTAATATAAGAACAAGGGGACAATTTACTTTAAAACTGATAAATCCCACCCCCCTTTTTGTGTATGACATGTAACAACCATGGCATTTACTGTCTGAAGATATCACTGAGGCTGCCTGCTTAGTAAGACTCAAAGAAGCATTAATTCTTTACATGGAAAATGAAAGCATCCACATTTAAATTATATAGGACAGGGGTTTCCAACATTTTTAGATTGCAGACTGGCAAACTGCGGGCTGGAAGTGACCACAGACTGGCAAACTGAGGACTGGTAAACTGCAGTCCAGAAGTGATCGGCATACTGCAGAGCGGCAGCCAGCCCATGTTGGCTGCTGCTGCACAGTATGCCAGTCACTTCTGGACTTCTGATCTGGCAGCCAACCCTTCTGCAGACCAGCAGCCAACCCTTTGTGGCTTGGTACCAGGCTGTGGCGCGGGGTTGGGAACCTCTGAGATAGGAGACAGTTGTTTGTATATGTGACTTTCTGTTTTTCCCTCTAGAAGAGTGTATAAACTCTCATGTTCCAGACTACAAGTCAGTGGTGATCAACCTTTTTTGGCCTGTGGGTCAGATGAGCAGTGTCAGGTTGGTCTGCGGGCCAGATGTGGGCCTGAGGTGGCTCAAGGTGCTGGCCTAAATAGGCCCAATCCAGCTCTGTTGAAACAACCTATCGGGTGGGGGGGGTGCTAATTCAGCCGTGTGGGGCTGGGGCCCTGATGCATGAAGCCATGCAGGAACAGGTTGGGTGGAGTCCAGTGCAGCCCTGCCTCAATCCAGCCACGTGAGAAGGTGGCCCAGTCCCTCCAGCCTGGTCAGGGCCTGATACAGCTGTATGGAGCTTGGAAATTTGGCAGTTAGAGAATGGCGGCAGTGATAATTGCCACGGCTTCTCCACTGTCAAATTTCCAGATCCAGGGAGAGCCCTGAGGGCCATATCGGGCCCACAGGCCAGGGTTTGAACACCCATGCTATAGGTTATATACTTACAGAAAGGAGCTGGGAAGATGCTTTCTTTCGGAGTAGATAATTCCATAATTTCCCCCTTTAGGTTTTATTGCACCACCTCCTGTCCTGGTTATAGGATGTTTCATGTAATTGGGCCAGTGGTTTTATCTATCCCAACAGTTCATACATCCTAATGTTCTTGTGATCCTAATGAAACTTTCTACAGTATTTCTTCTTGCTTGCACTGAGACTTCACAGAAATGGAGTGAAGTTATTTGACTGGTGTCTGGTTTGTTTGTTTGTTTGTTTGTTTTTTTGTCTGTTTAAGCTTTAGGGAAGCTGTGAAGAAGTTGGGAGTTGTTTTTATTTTTTTATTTTTATATGACTAGTATTCAGGGGCCCAAAAATGCCCACTATTTATTATTTGTGTGTGCTGCAATGCTTAAAGTAGTAATGAGAGTAGCTGTTAACATTTGTGGTAGGGATGAAAGGTTCCAATTGTGACTGAGACCTCAGTGCATGGATACCCTATTACTTAGAGAAAAAATGAAAATTAAAAATGGTCCTTTCCCAGGAGTTGGAGGGAAGCAGCTGGCTCAATATTGCATTAAGAGGTTTTCAAATGTTTTCTTATTGTGTACCCCCTTCCAGATTTACCAGCTGCCCTCTTACCCCTACAAGCATACATTTTATATTTTAACCCACTAAATGCCAATTATTGTTATTATTATAATGAAAATTAAATCCACCTTTTACACAACTTCTCCCTCATACCCCACAAAGATGCCTTGCATTCCCCTAGGGGTACAAATGCCAGTTTGGGAACCCCTGAACTAGAGGATGTGGATGAGTCTAACATGATTAAAATCCAGTGGGCTAGGATACATTCATAGATTTTTAACTGTTTACTCAAATATAAGAAAAGGTTTATTTTTCCTGATGTATCTTCTTACATTCACATACAAGGAAACCTCATTAAATACATTGTCTGTGTATTTAATGCTGTCAAAAACAGTATGTACACAGTCATAGAAACCAACTATGAAGCTGATTTAAATACAGCCAGTGCTGAGCATGACTATAAAACACACGGCCCACATTGGGCAACCGTACCGATGGGAACCTACCACAACAATAGGTTAGTGCAACCTGTCTGAATAAAAAGTATGGTAGTGCCCATTGCACTCAGTCCACCTCAGTGTTGACTCTTTCTTAAGTCAGGTGCGCCACTACATTGAATACACTTCAACTTCCTCTTCACTCCCATAGCTGAGCTGTGCCTTTCTTTCCCATTTCCAATGTTTTCTGTTCCTTTACCAGCCTTAACTGTCTGGCAAGTATAACCAAATGGGGCCCTAAACAGTTTACGCAGAATACCTCTGTCACCCTGTTGCAGGGCATGCAGGTGCCCTGTGCCTGAGAGCAGAAACAGCTTGGGAGAGAGCTCTAGCAGTGAGGGGGGAAGCCCAGCTGCTAGTTACCAGGGCAGCCAGAGTCACAGGTACTGGTTGCTAGGACAACTGCTGGTGAGTCAGCTGACAGGAAGGGGCAGGGCCTGGCACATATAAA